GACCCAGATCCGCTGCCAGGAACCCTCCGGGGCTGCGGGGGAGGCCTCGGCCATCGTCGACGGAGGCCGCAACGTCCCGTGGGTGCCACGGTCCGCGGCACGCCCCGCAGGCGCGGTGCGCCTCTCGCGCGCACAAGCGCCGCCGCGGCGCCTGCAGCACGGTCCCCAGCTCGCCGCCCAGCAGCCCGGCGCCTATCGCACGGCGCGAGGGGAGAGATGGTGTCCGCAGAGGCCCCCGCGCGGAGCGCGCGCCCGTGCGACGGCGACGCCGCACGGGAGCATCGCGCCCTTGAGCCAAAATGGATACGGATCCAGAGGCTGAAGGGAGTATCCGCCAGATCGTTTCGCTTCGCCAGTCGCCATCTTGGTGGCACGAAGCTGGGGAGTGGTCGCAGAGTCGCGCCTGCCGAGCGGCTTAGTCTATGTCGTAGATCGGCTCCGTCGGGTATTGCGCCTTCAGCATCAGAATGTCTGAGTTGTTGGCCATGGCAGAGGGACAAAAAACGGCACAAACATTAACCTTCGGAGGTCCGCGCAGATTTCTTGGACCATCGCTGGATCCCCCCCCATCCGAGCGCCGCCCTGGGGGCCCCAACGCCGATCCAATAAATCCGCAAGGGTTCTCCGAAAGTTTATGGTTCTGCGGCCTTTTCTTCTCAGACATCGGGTGATGGTCAGGATGTTGTGCCCAGCCCTTGGCGTTCGCCGCGATGCCGGCGCAGATGTCACCGATGTCGTGGCTCAGCGGCGAAGGACGGGGGTCCAGCTCCCGCTCCTTCTGCAACCGGTTGAACTCCAGGCTCATCGGGGGCGTCCAAGAGAGGGGCGTCCAAGAGGAGGGGGCGCAAATCGTGGCCAGCGGCACGTGCTCGGCCAAGGGGGGGGCAGGGAACGCCTTGACATAAGAAGAGGCGCCATGAGATCTGAGGAGATATCATGGCCCCCGCCATGAGATCCACCCCCCCTACAGTTGTGGCCCGACCACAAGAAACCTTTCACAAGAAACCCAGCCCTGAGACCCCAGGACATTCATGGATTTTTGGCGTGGGAACGTCGCGCTCTCCATCGCAAAACCATCGAAACCCAAGAAACACGAGGCACCTGGGAGGCAAGCAGGGTGCTTCTCGGCATGGGCCTCCACTGTAATCATCACACCCCTCCCTGACTACCTGCCAAACCACTCCCACCCAACCCGAAGACCCGAATTTCGGGTTGGGGGAGGGGGTACCTGTTCCACATGTGTTTTCTCGATGCTCCCCGACTCCCCCCCCCCGGGAAATGAAGGGCATATGGAGGCCTTCGAGTTGGGTTGGGGTGGTGACTGGGGGAACCAAAAGGTAATTACCGATGCCGCTACTCCTCGGACCTCTCCCGGGGGCGTTCTGACCAGGGTTCCGAGGCGAAGCCAGCGGTGACAACGAGGGCCTCCGAGGAGGCCGACAAAGGAAACACTGGGCGAAGGGCAGAGGTATGGGTACCTTTTCTAGACGAAGAAAAAGCCACATAAACATAACCTCTTGGTGCTCCGCGCGGATTTCTTGGATTCGCGCTGGACCCCGCTGCCTGGCGCGCGGAGCAGCGCGCCAGGGGCGGCGCCGAAGGCGTCGCCGGGGGGGCCCAGGCGCGGATCCAAGAAATCCGCGCGGAGCGCCAAAAGTGTATGTTTACGTGGCTCTTTCTTTCGGGCGTTGGCAGAACTGGGTTTAGTGGGATCTGGTTTAGTGATCTGTAGCAGGGACGCCCCCCCCCGTCCGTCCTATTACACTTACCGGAATTGCCGTCACCCGAAAAAACACCAGCTACTGTACGGCAGACTTGGTTTGGTGATTCCAATCCATATTTTGGGCTTCGGGGCCCGATCACTAACCGGCTCCCCTTAATCGGGGTCCTGGCCATACCCGACTCTTCTGCGATGCTCCTCCTCTGGCTGAGACTCTCTGCCGCCCCCGGGCTCACCCGCAGCTCCTAGGGGGCCACATGCGAACCCTACCCCTGCCCCCCACGATTTTTGAGAGGGAGGGTCCACGATTTTTGAGGGGGAGGGTGGGGCTCACTTCGCTCGGGAGCGCCAAAAGTGCATGCTTTTACGTGGCTCTTTCTTCTGCGATGTTCCTCCTCTGGATGACTCTCTTGAAGGGGCCCTGGGACACGCAAATAAATACGCACAACTGACCGGAATCCCCACAGTTTCCCAGATGTTCTGGGCTTTTGTTGTCTTCCCCCCACTTCCCATATTTCCCATATTTCCAGGGGAATCGACGATTCATTTTTTTCTCCCCCCCCACAGCGACACAACACCGAATCCGCTTCCCCTCATGGGGGCTATGAGCGCACCCCAAGAAGAGCTGCTGCCATCCCCAGGGGAATCGACGAGTCATGGTGCCTGTGTGTTTCTCCCCCCTCCCGAGGACTCTCTCTGCCGCTTGGTGGTCCCCAAACGTGGTGGTGAGAACACCCGGTGGTGAGTTTTGGGCGACTTGGGCAATGGCTTTCGAGCGCTGGCTGGCCCAGGAAACGCAAAACCTCGTGGCGATCGGCTGTCCCCAAACCCGGTGGTGACCTAGAATTATTTTTTGGGGGAATCGGGGTCACCACCGGGTGTCGGGCAGGGCGAAAGGGGGTGATAGCAAAGGGGGGGTTTGAGAATCAGCTCACGTAGCTGATTTTCCCGGCGCCTCCCGGCGCCGGGAGGCGCCCATGTATCGAGGAATGGGCCCCTCGGTGAGGCCGAAATCAGCTGCATGCAGCAAATTTCGTAACCCCCCCTTTCCCAATCCCCCCCTTTTGCCAGACCCGAGGCTGTCTCACCACCTGGTTTGGAGACCACCAAGCCGCCCCCGGGGCTCACCCGCAGCTCCTCCACGCGCACCGGGGAGCTCCGCAGCTCCTGCCGCAGGGCCTCCGCGAGGCCCCAGATGGAGTGCGTGTTGACCTGGTCCACGGGCCGGGCGGCGCGCGCGCGGCCGCGGGGGGGCCAGGGCCGGGTCGGGCACTGTCCCCCTGCAGTGAAGGTCGGGGCTGTCCCCCTGCAGGGGGAGCTGGACGAGAAGTGAAAGATACCCCAAAACTACTCCGACAGTGCCCCCAAAATACTCCAACAGTGCGCCCAAAATGCGCACGCGGGCGCGGGGGGGTCAGCTCGGAGGCCTGGAAATGGGCACCAGCACCAGGACAGGGGGTTGCCTCCACATTGGGAGAGACGATCCTGGATTTCGGGGTTGGTGGTAATATTTCGGTCACCTCGGAGGCCAGAATATCACCACCATCACCGAGATCGGGATCTTCTTCCCTCGGTGGAAGCACACCGCCGATCTTGGTGTTGGTGTTAACCTCTAGGCCTGCGAACCAGGGCCGGGTCGGGCACTGTCCCCCTACAGTGAAGGTCGGGGCTGTCCCCCTGCAGGGGGAGTTGGACGAGAAATGAAAGATACCCCAAACATGCTCCGACAATGCCCCAACAATACTCAAAAAATAGTCCCCAGACTATTTTTTGATTATTTTTGTTGAATATTCCCCCTGGAGAGGGGCAGGCCTGATTTAACCCTACAGGGGGAGTTTGGACGGAACATGGAAAATGGTCGAACAAAAATGCTCAAGAACAGTCACAAAAAAAATGCCCCCCCAAAAATCGTCCCCCGACTATTTTCTTTAGAATTGCTCTGATGTCCCTCCTGTAGAGTCGGGGCGTTGACCCAAGGAACCCTAAATAAGGAACGAGGCCCCTCTTTTCCATAAGTTAAGCTTCGATTTCCCATGCAAAAGCCTGAGGGAAACCCGAGGCAAACTGTAAAACACTCAAGGAACACCGAGCCCCTCCCCAACGAAACGCGCTCCTTCTTCAGGGCCCCTCCTGCAGAGGGACATGCCCGACGTGAGGCCAGGGGGGGGCGGCCCTCTCGGGAAGCCCGGGGGCCCTCGCAGGAGATCGGCCTCGCCGTCGTCGTCGTCGTCGTCGTCGTCGTCGTCGTCGTCGTCGACGACGACGTCGACGTCGACGTCGACGTCGTCGTCGTCGTCGTCGTCGACGTCGACGTCGACGTCGACGTCGACGTCGGCGGCGTCAAGGTCGCGGCCCTGCTGCGGGAGGTGTCGCCCTTCCGGGAGCGGCACCTCCCGCAGCGGGGCCGCGTGACGGCCGCACTGGGGCGGCATACACTCGGCACGTATTCGTAAGGATGCGCGGTACAGTCAAAAACCCTAATAAGGACGCGCGGTAAGGACGCAAGACCCTTGGAAGCCGAAGTTGGGATTTTCGGGGCGGCAGACGACGAAAACCTCAAGGACGCAAGAGCAAGGAAGAGCAAGGACGCAAGGGTACCCTGAGCAAAGTCGCGCGTCCTGATTCGGTTTTTTTTGACTGTGAGGATGCAAGGGCCCTGGAGGCCGACGTTGGCGTTCTTCGAACGAGGCTGGCCGGCGCAGGTCGCTGAGGATGGGCCGAAGGGGCCAAGATGCAAGGGTTCTCTTGGGAAGGCTGCCCATCCTTACAGTTGGGGCGTTGACCTAAGGAACCCTAAATAAGGAACGAGGCCATTTTTCCCACAAGTTCAACTTCGATTTCCAATGGAAAGCCTCGGGAAAACCCGAGGCAAACTCTCAAACAATCAAGGAACACCGAGCCCCTCCCCAACGAAAAGGGTTCCTTCTTCAGCGCCCCGACTGTACTGTGAGGGCGGACTGTGACACCCGTCAAGAATACGGGACCCTCCCCTCAAAAAGCGCCCCAGGCAGCGGGCACGATCACAAAAGCGGCACGCCAAGAAACGCCTTGGCCCTCCCCGAACGGGCTCGCCCCCCCATCTCGTGCCTCGGCCGACCGCAAGAAGGGCTTTCAGGCAGGGTTAATCTCGAGGAGCCGGAAGAGGAGGAGGAGAGGGGGAGGAGGAGGAGAGGAGGAGGAGGAGGGGGAGGGAGGAGGAGGAGGAGGAGGATGGGGAGGAGGAGGAGGTCATGGTATGGTTGTGCCGTGGCCTAAACGCGGGTCAAGCCCAATCAGAATATGCTCGGCGTCGGAGTCGCCCTCCTCAGGGCTGTCCGCGCTCCGCTGCAGGGCCGATCGGCCGAGGTCGCGGACCAGTTCGAGCTCCCCCTCCCACAGCCCAAACGCCCTCAGAACCTCGGCCCGCCCCCCAAGATTAGCCCGCCCCCATCCGCCACTAGCCCCGACGCTTGGGGCCGAGGGCTGTGGCTCTGGGGGCAGGCTCGGCTCGGCCTCGGCTAGGCTCGAGCGGGTCGCTGGCAGCACTCCGTGCGGCCTCCCGACCTTCAACGAGCGCACATTGGCGCGGTAAGAGGGGAATTCTCCTTTCTTGATCCTTCGCAGCTGGTCCACACCTCCAGCTTTGGCCTTCTCGGGGCACCACCCCGAAAGACCCGAAGTTAGCTTGCCGTCCGAGGATACGGTGCCACAGCGGCAGCAGAAGACGACCGAGGAAACGTGTGCGGTGCGACTGAGCACGTCTGCCTCCAGCAGGTTGTGGCCTCGCCACCAAAAACTGGCGTCTGCATACTCTTCCCACCCGTCGCCCACCCCGTAGCCACCAAGCGACGACGACCCCACTTCCCCACCACTGCTGCAAGCCTGGGGCACAGGCTCGGGGTCCTCTGGGGTCTCTGGGTCTTCCTCGGCAGCAGAGCCCCGAGACCTCCAGTACGCTTCCATCAAATCATCGTGGTCCTGGCCATCGGACTCAACGTGCACACAAGCCGCCCATCGGGCAGATTCTTGGGCTAAAAACTTAAAGCCTTGCCACAACTGAAACTGCTCCTCACCCACGCCGTGCTCCGCTGCACCTAGCTTCGCAAACCTGTCGGCGTGGGCGTTCCCTCTGTACTCCCACTCGGTGGTAGCACCCGCATCTACCTGGGCCCTGGTGCAATGGGCCTTGGTTTTTTAAAAACTTGGAAGTCCCCTTCCGAGAACGCTCCCCAGAACGGACTCCAGAGCTGGGCCCGACCACAACTGCTTTGGGATCCTGCGCCCGCGCCGCCACGGAGAGTCCCAACAGTGCCAGCACAGTCAATAAAGACATCGAAGGGCGCCATAGCACAAACACGCAGCATCGAGACGGCGTAATCCTCCGCGTCTCTAGGACTCTGCTTAGGGCACACACTGCATGGGACGGGCCCGCAGGCCGCCGAAACTACATTTCCAAACCTATCTACCTGCACGATGGCCCAGCCCGCTCGGGCCAAAAACGGAGCCGAGGCCCATAAGGCCGAACCGTCTAAGAACAGCGTGCCACTCAGGAGCCCTGACTCAGGTCTGTTGTGCCACAAGATGGTCTCTTGGGCCTGGGTCAGGACGGGGAAGACCAACTCTGGCGACGGGAACAGGCCTCTCGCAAACCTCTCCCCCTCGTCATACCCCCATACGCGGACCCTGCGAGCCCTCGTCCTGTGGAAGTCGTCAACCCATTCACGCCTGAGCCCTGCATGCTTCGGGGACTCGTAGGCCCTGTGCCACAAGGACCCTTCAGGATCACCACATGCACAACACCTCGCTGAGCCGACAAGTCCATGGTGGTGGAGCCGACTTTGTGGCCAGTGTCCTCCAGAAACCAAGGATCTCAACGCCCTCTGAAACCTCTTCGTCCAGGATCCCTTGGTCCGATGCAGGAGCCCCTCAAGTCCTGCCCAAAATATCGGCATATTCCACCTGGCTTTGGGCTCACGACAAAAAAGAGCTTGCCGATCAGAAGCTCGCCTTGCGCCTGCAACTGCTAGCTCCTGAACGAGCGCTGGAGGTAAAACTCGAAGGTCCAGTGCTTCCTGCCGATCCGTGACCATGCACGCACCTGACCGCAAGCTCCAGCCTATTCTGCGAAGACTGAGAACGGCTACTTCAGCTGGGGCTGCTGCTAGCCTCCAAGGTGTTTGGACTCCTTCGAGACGGCCCAGGGCTCCTTCCAGACACCGTTCCAGGACAGGAAGCTTCGGAAACGACTCCCAGACCGCCGTCGCCCATTGGAACACAACCATCCCGACGTTCAACAGCAGCGGGTCCACTCGGACCCCTTCAGCATAGCTCTGGAGACGGAGCCCGACCGTGGAGCCCTTGGGGACCTTCCCGAGACTTCCAGCAGCTCCCAATCGAAGACGATGCAGTTGGGTCGAGGGAATCCCCATGATGCTGGACCCCCATAGAGCCGACGCTGTAGGGCCTCCACGTTGAATGAACCCCGTGTTGGCCCCCGCCTCCCTGAGCTTCTTTATCTTAGCCGTCCTCCCTCTGGCCTTGTCCCACCTGTCCCGAGTGATCTGAACCCTCCGTAGGGGCCCCATCACCGCGTCGGTGCCGAGGTTCCTTGCATGATCCACCTTGCTTTCCTTCGGGAGGTCCCACAGGGGCTGCAAGGCCTCATTCAAATCCGAGTCGCTAGTCATGTACTTCGACTTTTCCGAGACGGGGAGCTCGAGCTCCGAGAAACTGGACAACAGGGACTGCACACCTGAGGCGAGCTGCGGTGCAATGAGCTGCTGCGGACCAACAATCTGCAGCGCGATGTCGTCTATCACGTTTCTGATGCACAACTGTGGCCGGCCAGACTGCGCGGCCGCGAGCGGCGATAACAAAAGTAACTTCGTAAGCGTGGTAGCTGCTGAGCACCCTGCGATCACTGCCCCATTACCTTGCACCTTCCTAGATACCGCCCCTCCATAGTGCAGCATCCTATCCCCGGCATAAATCACGCACAGCCCTCGCAGGAGCTTCAAATTGAAACCATGCTGGCACGCCGCACGATACAAGTCCATATGGTCGATGTGCTCATAGAACTTCTTAAGGTCCAGAAGCACCGTCGCCGCCGAGGTCCCCAGGACTTTCCCGAAGTGGGCCAGCATGTTATGGACCCATCCTGCTCTCTCGCAGGTTGACGTGGCCCCGACGCCCCAGAAGAAGGAGTGCTCGTGGGCCTGTTCCCAGGTACGGCAGATGTTTTGACGACACTTCGACCAAATCTTGGTGAACATGCACAATAATCCTATCGGGCGTACTCCACCATCTGGCTTGTCAAGGAAGATGATATTCGTCAAAAACTCGGCAATCACACAAGGTCGATCTTCGAACGAGTGAAGGATGTCGATAACACGCAATTGATATTCCTCTGGAAGAAACAAGATCTGGCGGGGATGAAAGGAGTCCCACCCAAGACCAGCCCCTTCCCCATACGAGTTACACACACGCCTCAACTGCTACAAAGAGATAGGTGGCAATTCATGTCCCAACACATCCCAATGAGCTGGGTGATTTTTGCTGAGCCTGCCTTCTTTGTGCCAAAGGGGAAGCCATTGATCGAGAAGCTGGAGGAGCGCAAGCTCACCGTTGACTGGCAAGCGGCCATGGTCGTCAACGACACTGAACGGGACCGTCCTGTCTGCGCGCGAGACCCTGGAATAAGCATGAGCTGCCTTCCCTCCCCGCTGCACTGACGACTTTGCCCACTCCTTCCACTCCGACAGGGACTCCTTGGCGTCAGACTTGCGCAGGCCTTCTACATACTCTCGTAACTGCCCGAACAACCCTTCTAACTCCTCTCTGAGCCCCATGGATATCCCTTCGACTAGGCTGATCAAAAAGCGGGCATTCGTGCCTTCGTCTGGCGCCTCCAGCGCCGAGATCATCCCGAACAGGGCGGCACACCATTCATGAAAAAGACCGCGTGCTCTGGCTCCTAGCATATCTTGGCCAACTGCAGCTGCACGACGAGCCAACGCCTCGAAGGACATCCAACTGGTGGTCCGCTTTGAATATCTCCTCCTAGACTCACGGTCCCAAACCGTCTCGAGGGGAATCTTTATGACCTTAGGGCCCCCAGCTCTTCCACACATCCTGGCAACGCTAGCACTGTCTAGGTCGTGGAACTGCATGAGCCAGCCCTCAGCCTGGGTAAACCATTCCCTGACCATGGACCCCAAACAGTGCGAGCCACCTCCGACTTCCCAAGACCACGTGCTTTCCGTAGGGAGCCTCCGAGGACCCACGAGCTTGTCCAGGGGGAACTGCATATATCTAACCTGCTTCGGGACGACCGTCGACGGGGCCAGGTTCTTGACGACGATACCCACCGGCATATGAGGCCACGAGGGGGCTGCAGGGAACGCCAGGACCTCCTTGACGCAGTGCCCTAAACACCTGGACCCCACGAAGAAATCGATCTCCCGCTCATCCTTCCTGTCGACCTCCTCCTCTGGCCCCGAACTGGTTACTGGAGCGGGCCCTGCTCTACACGTAGCGTGGCCCGTCGTAAACATGCATCCCCCAACTTTGGACACCCATTCCGATGCTTCAAGCTCTTCAGGAGTGAGGTTCCAGTCACCTTGCACAATCCAGAGGCAAATGAGGGACTTGATGTACTCGCCGAGAGTGTTCAATAACTCAACATTGTCCCCTGTTACGCCTATGCTGGTGTAGAGGTAGACCGAGAAAACCATCAACCCGCCTGGAAGTCCTACGTTGATGTGCCTGCTTGCCACGCGCGACTTGAAAGATTCCAACTCGGGTGGCCATGGCACACTAGAAGACGCCAGAGAGCTGGCCACTGCCAAGCCTACTCCTGCCGAGGACTGTGTCGGACCTGGCCCTGTGGACGCTGCTGGTCCTAGAGAAAACGCGAAGGAGCGGGAGGAGGAGGAGGAGGAGGAGGAGGAGGAGGAGGAGGAGGAGGACGAGGAGGAGGAGGAGGAGGAGGAGGAGGAGGAGGAGGAGGAGGGACGGGCGCCGTCCTCTCGGCCGGCCGCCCTCCCCTCCCCGCGCCCCTCCGCCGCGCCGCCCGCATGGGGCTGCGGTTTCTGCCGGAGCCCCCGTTCACGAAGATGTAGGACGCGCCGTCCGCGTTCTGCAGGAGGGGGAGCAGGCCCCGCGCGGCGGCGTGGTGCAGGGCGGGCAGGCGCGAGGCGTGGTAGGCGAAGAACGTGGGGCCCATCTGCATGAGGGGGACGGCCTTGTCGTCGAGCGTGACGCGCCCAGTCTTCGTCGTCTCGTCGGTCGCGCCACCGATTG